TCAAACTAACGTGTATGAATAAAGCTCATATGAAAAATAGCCTTATTAGACTGAAGAAAGATCTGATATTGATGTTAACATAGCATTCTTTGATCAATGATATATATATATATATAAAGTAATGTCATATTTCTAAGAACTATTACATAGTGTAGCTTGGATGTTGAAGATACTGTAATATAATTAACTTTTTACATTTCTTGAATTTCTTTTTGATTGATGTCTAACAAAAGCTCTTATAGCTTAATTTGTGGTATATCATATAAATATTCTACTATACCAATACTATTATGCTCATCTTCAGATTTATTGACTTGTTCAATAAACATCAAAGTTCTTTGATATAATAATGTCTATTTCATTTGGGCTCTCTAAAGTGATAATAAAATAAGTGCCAAAAACTCTTTTAAAATAGAATTAATGTCTTTAAAAATTATATTGTAAGTTGACAGAAGACTAATTGATAGATTTGACCTATAGTAATCTCTGATTTGACTATATTGTGCTTCTTATTTAGCTTACTTTCTATTACTTTTACCAATTCCTTTAATAGAATTTCTCAATCTATATGCTTTTTAAGGATTCTATTTAAAGATTTGACATACTGAGTCAATTGTGCTTCTACTGTAAAAACCTTGACGATAGAATATTTTGCCTATGACTTATAGCTAGAATAGAGCTTTTTTTCAAGATAAGATTTACATAGTTCATATTTTGTAAGCATTTTGTTATATCTTGCTTTAAACTAGTATTGATTATAACTATTTCATATGTGGTAAAAATTCTTAACAAAGCTATTGATTATCTTACTGTATTGTAACAGGACTATTATAACATAATTGTTCTATATAATACATTATAAATAATTACGTAAGTGATGTAGTTAACAGGATTGACTTAATAGATATATTTAATTTATATAACACAAGAAAATGTAGATCTAAATGTCAAACATGTCAAACATATTTGATATATTTGACATATCTGATAAATATGATATATTGGACATACCTAACATATATGATATATTAGATTTGCATTAAAAAGTATATAAAGGAGACTAAATTCTTGACAAGAAAGTAACTATTAATTACTAGATGCAATCTGATCAGTTCAGCGTTAACTATGTATAACCCTTTTTTGTAAAGTAGCATAAGACTACTCTTTTTTATTTATGATTAATTTTTCTTTTATATTCTCTTAGTTTAGTATTTTAGCTTTTAGTTTATTTATTTACCAATAAATCTTTATTTAATTTACTTAAAACATTTTGTAACACTTGTATTATAACATAATTTATGTTTAATTTTGACTTAACATATGGAAATATACTCGATAGTGTATTAAATACATTGGGCAGTATATAGTAGATGAATCATACATTTATCGTAAGTTTAAATATATTTTTCAATATATAACAAAACTTAACCAACTAAGGTGTGAATATACTTTGCAGTATATAAAAAACTATTAACTTACTGAGACAATTATTAGATTATTACGTAAACTTAAAGAATTACCACTCAAACACTTCATCTAACTGTTATAGTTCATAAGAATAACACATTAATAATATAACTTAGATCTAGCTTTTTTTTTATATTTTTAATAATATGATAGATACATAATAAGTGGTAAGTCTCTGGATAAATAATTTGAATAGCTACTATCATTCTCAGATCACTATTAATAAATAATATCATAAGTGAAAGATTATTAGTTACTTCTAATGTATATTACAAGATCTAATTATAGTCTGCTTGTATTTTATACTTTGTTAAAGCTTGAGTAAGAAGTCTTATTTTGAAATTATTATTAATGCTAATAAATAAGCTAAGCACTATTTCATAATGATTTATCTTTGCTGTATTATCATATATGATAACGTTATAAAATTTAGGCTAAAATTCATTATACTGTTAGCTAATCATCCAAAATAGTCTAGTAAATTCATTAGATAATCCTTCTAAGTGTGAAATAATAATATTATCAAAATCTTTATCATACAGCTTTATAAGATATAAAAATATTATAGCTGCATTAGACTCATCATAAATTTGAATACTTTAAAAATCTTAGATGACATTATATAAGTTCTTTTTTAATAGGATGTTCAGGAAACTCTTAATAAGCAGATCATACTGTTTTTTAGCATTTAAGTGTTCACTAATGGTGTAATACTCGATTTTATCTAAAATTATTTTAGAAAGGTGGGAATTTTTTGAAGCTAGATCTATGGTTACAGGATCATATAAATAGTTGTGATTATTATTGAACTGAATAAGACATATTATCGCAGCACATTTGCTAAAATAAAATCCTATTTACTGTGAACAGTTTGTTTTAGTTGAACTACCTTCACGATGTAAGCTAATATCACTTTTTTGGATTACTAGTTTCAGCTTTCCAATAACTATATATATAATGGCAAATAATAGTTTATTAACAGCATTAAGATTTTTACAGCAACAAATTCTTTTTACTTCACGTATGTATTAACAATAACTTTAACTGCATCTCAATCTTTAAAAATATCATTGATATTTATAGTCTCATTTGTATCACTTTCTTCATTATTATTAGGTAATCTATTGATTTCATTTGTTATATATAAAAAGATACCAACTTATATATCTGATATAGTCTTCATATTATCAATCTCATTTATATATTTTTCTTCATTATTAGGTAACCTATTGATTAAGTTTATATATCTAAAAGTATTTCAGCTTATATTTCAATATTTTTTAATTTTTTTAATGAAATAGTATGATTACGAGATTACGAGCGATTATTAAAATAAATTGATAAAGACGTAAAGATAATTGAATAAAAAGAACTACAAAAACTTTAGAATATGGTATAAAGATAGCTGTTAAAAAAGAAAAGGAAGTGATTGTGAATAAAAAATCAAATAAATAATATAAAATTGAAAAATAGATTTGATTGTATCACATGATACATCAAACATAAATAAAATATTACATCATATAGTGTGACGCAAATTAAACAAACTTCCAAAAAAAGAAAATTTATTTATTACAAAAATTGAAAAATTATGTTATACGAGTATTATACAAATTTCAAAAAAAAAAATCTATTAACACCAGTAATATATAGTAATTTTCTTAATTATATATATAAATAATTTATAATAATCTTATTATTTATCTCTTATATTTAATTGCTGATTGTATATATTCTACAATATTATATATAATTTTTATTATAACAATTAGGATTAGTAGTTTATAAAATAATATTATTAATGATATTTTTTATTAAATATCTAAGATTTGTAAAGTTATTTTTTATTATGATGTTAGAAGTCTTAACTTAACAATATTTCAAAATTTTTTGTTAATTTTATATCACATGATTAATAATTAACTAATAAAAAAAGAAATTAATTATTTTTTTGTGTATTTTTTGAAATTATAATAATTTAAGTTGATATTATAATTAATTATCATACTAGCTCAAATTATTATAAATTTTAATTAATAATATATATTTTAAATTCAAAATGATCATATAAAAATTATTCAATTTAAATACTTATAATTTTTTATATAAAACTTATTTTAAAAAACTAACTAGTAATTTAATAAAGCTTATCTCAAAAAATAAAGTTATCAATTTATTTTTTATTTTTTTAAAAAATTGAAAAATTTTAAATGTCACATTTATATTATTAAGTATAGATTTCCTGTATTATAGTAATATTTTTTTTTTTTGATATTAGATTTATATTATAGATTATATTCTTATTTTTAGTAACAAAATATTATAAAAAAATCTTATATTACTTTTTTATTTATATTAATTAACTACAAAAGCTATTCTTAACAATAAAGGTTTTTATTTATTATTTTAATAGAAAATTTTGATAATTTTTTTATTTTTAGTTATATTGTATTTTAAATATTTTTTAAATAAAATATAAAATAATTTTCTACTATAATTTTAAATATATATGTTAATATATTTCAAATACATACTTTTTTTCTAGTTTATTTATAATAAAATGAAATGTTAAAAATATATTTTCTCAATATCCCTTTTTTTTTTTATTAAAAAATATTAAATTTTGTTTATAAAATTGATTCTTTATTATATAAGTATTAGAATAATAATAGATCAGAATATAAAGCTTTAATAAATAATAAATATCTTAATAATTAAGATTATTTATTTTTATTATAAAATTTATCAAAATCACAAAGTTCAAAATAATTTATAGCTGATTCTTTAAATAAAATCTAAATTTTTTAAATAACATAATGAAATTCAAACTTTAAAACTTATATGGTTTTTTTAAAAGATTAATATTTCTTTTCTTTTTTAAATCCTATATATAATTATAATCTTAAATACTGAATTCTTATCAATATAAAATGGTATTATTTTTTAAATTTTAAATTAAAAAGTAAATTAAATTATTAATATTAATAATATAATTATTAATAAAAATAATTAATATGATAATAAATAATATGAATACTTTGTAATAAACTACTAAAAAATATTTTTTTTTGAATTAATATTAAATCTGAATTATTTTACTAAAAAAATAATATTTTAGCTTATAAAGTGTGAGATTATATAATAAATAGAAATAATTAAAATATAATTGGCTTATAGGTATTAATTAAAATTTGACATCAACATTCTAAGAACCGTCATGCCTAAAAAGAAAAAAAATTTTTTTGTGTAGCCTTGACCACATTCTTACGATGATCAACCGTGTAACCGGTTAATTATGTAGAGATAAAAACCTTTGTTTCGTCCTTCTATCGTAGATTCCTTAACAATACCTCTTACGTCTATATACCCTACAAAATCTTTTTCGTGCAATAATATTCTAAAATATCTAAATTAAAAATTCATTGAAATAACGTGAATGAAATGAATGATTTAATAACCCGATAAGCTTCGAGCAAAATTGATCAAACAAAAATTCGTATAATACGATTCAAACCAGACTTGATAAAGAAATTATGTTTATTCGACAAGCTTCGGTTTTCGCTCGTAACATACAAAAAGAAATAACCTTAAATGGATTAACGAGGGGTTACAAGTTTAAAAAAACAATTGTAGAATGTCCTGTAAAGTACAACATTCGTCTTAATTCAAGCGATTCTACAATAATGAACCAACCACAAAAATCATCTGTCGTCAAGGAGGAAGAAAATTCATCGATTTGTATCAACAGTACACAAACTCATACGAATTCATCAATCGCAAAATCAACAAAATCAACAAAATCAAGTAATAAAATTTCTTTATTAAAACCTTCATTAGACATAAAGTTATCGATTGAACAATTAAAAGAAAGAACACAATTAACAGAAATGGACAAGAATGGAATAAAATGGAAAGAATGGACGGAAGAAGAAACGAACCTATTGTTTATGGCATTAGAACTTCATGGAAATCGATGGAAATTTATCCATAGGAATTATTTTAATTATAGAACATTACATTCAATAAAATGCAAGTGGGATAGAGTCAAACTTAAGTATGAAAATAGTCGTAAAACAATTTTATCAGAATGGACACCAGAAGAAGATGAAATATTGTTAAAGGCTGTTGAAAAATATGGCAAAGGGAAGTGGAGAAAAATTTCAAGAATATTACCAAATAAAAATGCGCTACAAGTGTATAGAAGATATTATTTTATAAAACATACAAAACGCGGTAATTTTACCGAAGAAGAAGATAATTTGTTATGTAACTTGTTAATAAAATATGGTGGAAATTATTGGCAAAGGATTGCAGAGGAAATGAATAGACCTGTTCATACTATTATGAAACATTACAAATTTGTTTTATTAAACGATGCTAAATTTTCAACATGGACCGATCAAGAGAATGAATTAATTAGCAATTCTATTTTAAAATATGGTAAAGATTGGAAAAAAATTCAAAATTTGTTACCTCATCGTTTACGTCGTTCTATTAAAGAACATGTTAGGTTTTGTTCTTTTGCTGATCCGCATTATAATAGCGGTTTCTGGGCAATTGATGAAACTATGAGATTGGTTAAGGCTGTTAGATTATATGGAAAAAGTTGGCAAGATGTTTCAAAAGTTGTCAAAACAAGGTCTCCTTTTCAATGTCGTATCTATTTTAGAGATGTCTTTACAAGAAAAGGTCGAGAACCCTATATTTTAAATTTGGAACTTGAAGGAATCAAACAAATATTTCCTACCGAGGTACTTTCATAATTTAATGTTAATTGTGATTATGAAATTTAATTAAATTACTTAAAGCGGTTATTCTTTTTTTTTTTAATGAAACAGGATCAAGCGATCCTGGAAAAACTTGCAGCAGAACAAGTATTAATGGAGTTAAGATCTCCGGAATCAGAATCAGAATATTTTGCTCCCGAGACAACTTCTACAGAACACAATTCTAGAAATTTAAACGAGACTTCTTAGCAACAAATTCACGTATTTGGGAAAACGATCAAGATCTTTTTTGGTTTTGAAAACTCCTGATGTTATATCTCACAATTTATCCTCGGTCGTCACATACTATCTTCCTCCCCGAATAAGACCATATCGTTTGAATAGAAAATTGATCATCAGAGTAAAATTAAAATAATTAATTTGAAATTATCCAATGAAAGATTGTAATTTCATCAACTTTAATAAAATATCTCCCTCTTTCATAAACTAAATACCGACGAATCAGTCACATGAATTTTACTTGAAGCAAACAATCCATAATTCTTTAAAAAGCCAAGCAAAAGAAATAAAAATTATCTCCAAATTTGTTATAACCAATCCCAATAATCATCGCCATGATTGGAACATCTGGTAAGGTGTTTTCGATTAATACCTTTTAATAATGAACAATATATAATTCTTGTTCCTCTGATATCACAATCACTTCCCACTATAAGGAAAATATTTAATACTTTGTGGTAAAATTTTCCTTTTTTAAGCACTTCATTATCCACCGATCTTATATCAATTTCCGTCAATACTAAAATTCTACAATTTTTAGCTCCTCGAAAGTAGTTGAGTTGATCTACAATTTTCAAAATCTTCTAATATAGCTGCTGTGTGAACAAAGGTCATTGGGAATATTATCAAAAATGGATTTGATAATTATGAGTTTTAATGAGAAGTCACGAATCAACAACTCCTTATTACCTCTGACACGTTACTCTTCTCTGATTCTATGTGAAAGTATGTTCTTCCTGATTACGTTCACATTAAAAATTCGTAACGTGGAATCGCTGAATATTTTGCTAATATAAGCCAATCTCAAGAGCGACTACGGTAATCTCTTTGCTTCCGGGAAAATTAAGTAAACGATACGAAGTCAAGTCTAAAATATTTAATTGCTGGAGAATGCGATATAATCAATAAGAATAACTCTTTCGTTACTTGTAGTTTTTTGAGCGTATATACATCGCTCGAATTTAAACTTCACTATACCATTAAAGTGTCATCACGAACATAACTTTCGAATCTCGGAATTTGAAAAAGTCCAAAATCCAATAAGTTTTTGAATTCTCTGATGACAAAGGAAAAAAATTTATTTTACTACTAATAAAATCATTA